AGAAGAATATTTGGAATGATCCCAACACATGCAAAAAAATGATAAATGTTTGAGGCGATGGATATCCAAATTCCACTGATGTGACCATTATATATTGTATGCCCATATCAAATTATCACATGTACCCCATAAACATGTACAACTATTATCTATCAATACGAAAATAAAGCAAATAAATAAATAAAAGTAAGATACTATATGAACACATACACATATAAAATGAAGGTCTCTCATTAATGGTGTTAGTTTCCAGTTTAAGAAACTAGAAAATGCAGGCAAAAAAGCCCACAGAAAGCTAAATAAGTAAATAACAATAAAGATAATGGCATGAGTCTATAAAATAGAGAACAGAAAAATTATAGAGAAAATCAATGAAGTAAAAGCTAGTTCTTTTAGAGATCAATAGTATTGATCAACCTGTAGCTAAATTCATAAATTAAAAAAGGAATATACAAATTACCTCTTTGAGGAATGAGAAAAGTCATGTCATTACAGATTCTGTAATTATTAAATAGGTAAAGGGATACTATGAACAACATTGTACCAATAAATGTAAAAACTTCAATAAAAAGACAAAATGTTTGAAAAATATAAAGCAACTTTATTCAAGATCAAAGAAATAATATGAAGAGTATTAAATGTACTAAATAAATGGAATGTCTATTTAAAAACCATGTAATAAAGAAAACTCATTGCCCAAATGGCTTCACAATGCATTTATTCAAACATGTAAGGAAGAAACAATAATTCTACAAAAGTCTTTCAGAAACCTGAAGAGGTTATACTTCCCAACTTATCCTAGGAGCCTACCTTTACCTTTATGCCGAAACTAGGCAAAGACATTATGAGAGAAGAGATATTCTTCACGAACTATTATTTCTCATAAACATATATACAAGAACTCTAAACAAAAATTGAGCACATCAACACCACCCAGGAACATAAAAATGATAATAAATTGTATCATGACCAACTGGTTTTTATCTAATATGTATAAAATTGTTTTAGCATTTAAAAATCAATCAATATATTTTACCATGAAGAACATTTTAAAAAGAAAAACATACAATTATTTGAATAGATACAGAAAAATATATGACAATATCTAACATTCATTTCTAATAAATAATCTAAGCAAAGTAGGAATAGAAGGGAATTGCCTTAATCTGATAAATAATATGTATAAAAATCTACAGTTTTCCTAGTATTTGATAGTGAAATACTCAATCTTTTCCCCTTAAGATCAGAAACCAAAAAGAATGTCTGTTTCTAGCACCCCTATTAACAACACCCCCTATTGGACTTTTTGGTTGGTACAATTGGGTTAAAAAAGAAAGAAGAAATGTCAAGCCAATCAGAAAGGAAAAACCTTTTATTTGCTGAGAGTGTGATCATCTATATAGGAAATCCAATGGAATTACAAAATTTACTAAAGCTAATACAGGACTTTTGCAAGGTTGCAAAACAAGATCAATATACACAGATTAATTGTATTTCTGTGTATTAGACACAAATATTTGAAAATTGAAGTTTAAAAATAATAACATTTATAACAGTGTTAAAATACATAAAACACAATTCATAGGAATTTATAGCTTTCCAAATTATGAAAGACCTTCTCTTTCGGTGAACACTACAACATATTACTAAGAGAGCTTAAAGAGGACCTAAATAAATTGGAAAGTGTATTATGTTAATAGGTCAGAACACTCAGGAGTGTTTAGATTTTAATTCTCCCCTTATTGTTCTATAGATTCAGTGCAATCCCAATAAAAATCCTGATGAGTTTCTTTGTAGAAATTGACAAACTGCTTCTAAAATTTGTTTGAAAATAAAAATGACACAAAACTTTGAATAGCTTTGACAAAGAGAAACTAATAGTGCTGATTTTAAGACATTATAAAGATGAAATATTTAAAACTGTTTACTTTAGTCTTAAATATTACAAATTGATCAATGAAATAGAACATAGATTTTATAAATAGACACTATGTATACAGATGACTGATTTTTGACAAATAATTAAAAGGAATTTAAGTATCACTAGTAGAAAACAGTCTTTTCATCAAACAGCTGGAACTTTCAAATATCCTTATGTAATAAAATTTACTTTGATCTATCCTTAGCCTAAAATCTGATACAAATTTAACTTAAATGCATTATGGACCTAAATGTAAAGCTAAAACTGTAAAAATTCTATAAGACAACTCTGGAGAAAATGTTTGCACTTTTAGTTAGACCATGATTTCTAGAAATGACACCAAAAGTATGATTTAAAAAGATATAATATCATCGCTGGATTTAATCAAAATTAAGAATTTCTGATATTAATGAAAAACAAAGCCACAGACATAACAAAAATGTTTGCAAATCTTCCAAAACCTAATAATGAGAAAATAAGAAGCCAAATAAAAATGAACAAAATATTTAGAGATAATTACCAAACAAAACATACGGAAGGAAAATAAACACACAAAAATGTGTCAATATCATTAGTAATTAAGTACATAATAAATCAAAATTAAAATGAAATACTACTTCACATTTGTTAGAATGATCCAAAGTAAAAAAGACTTACCATATTAATAGTAATGAACGTGTAAGAATTGAAACTCTCATATACTGCTGGTGAGAATGGGAATAAAAAATGGTACAACCACTTTGAAAATGGTTTGGCATGTTCTTGAGAATTTAAACACACATGTATCATATAAAACAGCCATTCTACTCTTAGGTATTAACCCAAGCAAAATGAAAGCCTATGTGCATGCAAAGACATAAATAGATGTTCATTTCTACTTATTTTGTAATAGCAAACAATGAGAAATAATCCAAATGTCTATAAACAGACACGAGGACAAACAAACTATGGTATGCAATGGAATACTGTTTAGCAAAAAAATTCTGTATGATTCCATTTACATAAAATTAAAGGAAATATAAGCTGATATGTAATAGCAGAAAGCAGATCAGTGGTTACCTGGAGAGAGAGGTAAGTGGGCCAGGGAAGGGTGGAGGGGAAACTCTTTGGTGACAGTTTCATAAGTGTATACATATGTCAAAACATTTCATTTCAAAATGTAAAGAAGCATCATGTGTTTTATTATTCATTAAGGTATGTTTTTATATGAGGGATAAATGCAATAATATGTTTAGTCAGAAATTACTATTAAACATCAATATCAAGTTATTAATAAATCAAAATATTTTTCCATTTGGGCTGATTTCTCAAAAACACCATATTGACAATCCAAAGGCTTAAATAAATATTAAAGTATGCAAAAAGAGTCAACAAAGCACACAATAGATTCATCACAAAACTGTTACAGAACATCAAATGTGACACAATTTCTGAATCTGAGAAGGTATATATTGTGCATCATCCTCTACAAACAGAAAAGTTCATGTTGAATAAAATGTTTTAAGTTCAGAAAAAGTTTTTATTTTTAATTATTATTATTTTTTAATTTTTATCATGGGTATAGAATAGTTGTATGTATTTTTTAAGATACCAGAAATTTTGTGTTCTATAAAGAATGGTATAAAGGATACATACTGTAAAAAGCTGCCTCTTTAATTTGAAATATTCACTAAAACAGAAAATGGATCAAAATAATAAAGAATTATATGTGATTAAAAATAAACTTACAGTAGATTTCATTTAATTTTATCTTACATAGTAGTGCTTAAGAAAATTTAATTATGGGCATTGATATGTAATAGTGTTTCTAAAAATCTGAAAAAAATTTAACATGTTGTGAAAATGATGACACAGATTTAGTTGCTAATTTCACTTGAAATGTATGCTATGATTTTTCCTTGATAAATACAGCCTGAGTTAAAAGACATCTATGTGCAATAAACAAAAACATTATAATCCTGACTTTACTTTGTTATTTTGGGATTTATAGAGTAGTAGAGGGAGACTCTGTTATGGTAACTGGTACACAATTTAACTTGTGCTCAAGTTATAGACATTGTCACTTTTGCCCACATCTAACGATGCACATGTAATCTGGTTAGGCATTAGAATTAAGAAGAGGTTGGGTCTGAACATCATTGCACTATTTTTAAGCGAAACAAAGACATTTTCGGGCATAGCCCCCAAAGTAAGTCAATAGAGTATTAGACACAGTTTGGCAAGTGGTCAGAAGGTGGATATTGAAAAGTGAATCCCCAGAACTCTGTACTTTAATAATCTGCTAAATAGCAATGAAAATTGGATATAATAGATAAGAGCACAAACTTGGAAGTCAATGGTATTATAATCATGGCAATATTATAATGGAGGTAATATTATGAAGGAAGAGCATTACTCACATTTACTGTGATGAAAAATACTGTGGTTACATCCAAACCTATCAACACCCCAAATAAGTGGCAGCTTACTTTCTTTATTTAGCTTATGAGATTGTAAACACATTATTTTCTCTTTATGCATATTTATGTTTGTATAAAGGACCTTAAGAAACTTTTAACCTCAATGATGCCACATGCCCAGGCACATCCTGAAACCATTTTAGTTAAGAGTCCAGGAAATAATATCAATTTTGCTTTGGGAAAACAAAAGGAAAGACAATTTCCAACTTTTACTCAGAATAGTGCTGGTGCTAATTTGTTCATTTCTCTTCCAAAGATACCCTGAGATTAAATAAATTATTCTAGTCACATATTCCAAAATTCTTTTAAAGTATTATCTTAGGATATACATTTACAGACAGTAAAGGCCACCGTAAATTTAAAGAAATAAAACCAGTATTTTAAAATACTGGATGCTATCTTGGTTGGTTTTGTTTATTTCTTTTTTACCATCTAAGAGTGTACTTTCAATCTACTGTGAATATAGCATTTTGGCTGCAGAGTGATTTATGCTGTACCAAGAAATTATTATTTTTCAAACAAAAAAAGTAAAACATTATCACTTTGGAGTTTTAGCCTCATGTCTACCTATACCCTAAGTCATATTTAACTTATTATACCCAAAGTCATATTCAACTTACTGTATCTCATCTCTGGCTGAGCAGAGCAGGCCATACTTTCAAAAAAGGAGGAATGTTGGCTTGAACAGATGGCTTCCTGTCCTCCCTGATTCAAGGGTCACCATGGCAACAAGGAAAGAGGGGGTGTTGCTTAGCAACTGGAAACATTAATGAAGAGATTTCCAAACTGTATTTAGAAAAAAAAAAAAAAACCTGCTTGGAAGAACTTCAGGACTTAGCATAAACGTACCCCCAAATTCATTTATGAAACATGCTGAGTACATAATCACAAATCTGAAAGACTTTTTAAGGGAAAAATATCAAATAAGTGGCTTACTGGACATTTTTTCTAAAAATAATATTTTTGCTTTAATAGCAGCATTTATTGACAAAATATGACAGAATAATAAAACCTCTATGCTTTTTCTTGTGATGTAATATTGCAAAAAGCTAGATTAAGTACAAAATTTGCTACTACCATATACTGTAATATGAACTGACGTATTGGGTAGGACCAGGAATTTATGGAGTTGTCCTCTGTACCATGTTTCCTAATGCACATGAGGCAGCTACTCAAAACATTTCAGGAGCTTCTCTCTCAACCAAGGATTGAAGTGGCAGTTCAAATTATCAATGTCTATATATTGACTAAAAACATCTTTTCCTACTGAAAATGTTCTCTTATTAGCACTTACCCATGTATTATGTTTTAAAGTTAATCTTCAAAAAATGGTTTATTCAAGATCTTTTTTTAAGGAGATCAGTTAATAAAATAAATCCAAATGGGATCTCCAAGATAGGTGTGTAACTATTTTAATCTTTTTGTCATATGTGTTCACATAATCTAAATATAAGTTTCATTGAATAGTCCATGTCAGATTTAACACAAAAAATGCATATATGCATTATATTATTTAATATACGAGGGCTGTCCAGAAAGTATCCAGCCATTATTTTCATATTTTTCATATACATGGCTGGATACTTTCCAAATAGGCCCTTGCATGTTTCTTTCAAGTGCCTATCAATGTATTAACACTAGTTTTAGAATGATTATATCATAATCATCATATTGTAAACATTATTCTTCAATGATTTATATGTACCTATATGGTACCACCATTTTGCTAAGCACTACAGCAAATGGCAAATATATTATATTGCTAATCTTTACAAAATACCTACAAGTTGTTAGTATCTCCAATGAAAGATGAAGTGATGGAGACTAGGAAAGTTTAACCAACATGAATGACAGTGTAGCATACTATTCATAAACATATTCTCTAAACCTGAATTACATGAATTCAAAACTCACTTCCATGCAGTCCTAAGCAAGTTATCAAACCACTCTGCCTCTCAGTTTCACTTTAAAATACACATGTAAGTATTATCTTTAAGACTCTTAGGGCTTAATATACACAAAGCAAAACTAAATGGATTATGAAAACTAAAGGAATTAATATACATGAAGCTTTCAATAATGCTGGTACATTCATTGATGTGTGCTACTTTTGTTGCTTTTTGTTGTTGTTGTTGTTGTTGTTGTTTTATGTTGCTATAATTTGCTTGCATTGTTATTGTGTAAACTATCCGTATCATAAGAGGTTCTTCTGGGACTTAAATGCAGTTTCTGATTAACACTAAAGACTATTGATTTTATAAAAGTAATTCAATATATGTTACATCAGTTTACAAAAGGAATAGGAAATACTTAGCTTTAAAACAGTTTTAAAGTTTCATTAGTTTAAATTTTCTTCTTATATATAAGAAAGTAATACCCAGAGAGATTAAATGATTCATCCAAAGTAAAGATGATCAGAGTCTTGTTAGCTCATTTTATTTATTTAGCATTTAATATGTTACAGGCATTAGGCTATGCATTACAACCCTATGATCCCTTCTTCTGCATACACAAAAATATATTAGGTAGAAATGATTAATTCTCTACAAATTACCCTATTTGCACATCTAAGAAAGTAGCAGAAGCTAGATTCACATCTGCGTTAGTTCTCTGTTGCTGTGTAACTAAATGTTGGTCAAAGGATACTAAATTTTAGTTAGGAGAAATAACTTCAAGAAATATATTGTACATTATGGTGACTATAGTTGACAATATATTATATACTTGAAAATTACTAAGGGAGTAGATTTTAAGTATTCTTATCACATACACAAAAAGATAAATATGTGAGGCAATGTATATGTTAATTAACTTGATTTAGCCATTCCTCAAGGTATACATATAAACATATGTATCAAAACTTTATCTTGTATACCATTAATATACACATTTTTAATTTGTCAATTAAATAAATTAAAAACAGTTTTGTTTTTTTTTTTTTAAAAAACACAGTAAGAACAATACGCATTTACCATCTAACAATAAGGCCAGCACTAGCTTCACTAGCTTGACGGAGTTTAAATTCTCTTAGAATCTCACAGGCTGGAATCAAAGTGTTGGCCGGGAATATGCTTGTACACAGCCTCTGGAGAAGAAGCTGCTTCCAAACTCATTTAGGTTGTTAGCAGAACTAGTTCTTGGTGTCTATAGGTTGAGGTATCTTTTTCTTTTTCAAATATCATTCAGAGGCCATTGTCTGCTCCCAGTGGCTTGCTATGTTCACTCTCACCTCCTGGTCCTCTGCATCTTCAGTCAGTAATGATACATTGAGTCCTTCTCACATCTAGAAACTCTGACTTCCTTTCAGCCAAAGGAAACACTTTCCTCTAAAGGGCTCAAGTTATTAGATTTCACCCACCCCAAAATTTGCCTATTTTAAGGTTAGCTGACTAAAAATGTTTATTGCATATACAAATTCACTTTGGCCATGTAAAGTAACAACCACGGATTGCCATCTCCTCATATCCATAAGTTCTATTTACACTTAAAGGGGAGGAGACTATACCATGGGGCACTCATTGGATGTTATTCTTAGAATTTTGCCTATCACAGTACCAGAGAACATTCTCCTAAACACGATATGATAATGTGGAAGAGTATCTGTCTAAATAAGGTGATCTTAACATCTGTCTAAATAAACATTGGTTGAATAGGCATTAGAAGAATCTATTTAGTCTATATTTTATACAACTAGATTAATTACCACTACCTTCCCAGGTTTGTTTTGTTCAAAATATATTCTCTTTTATCCTTTGAGAATACTGTGAAGATATTCATGTTAGTGGGATGTTTGCTATAGATTTATAATACAGACAAATACTTGGAAATAGTAAGATTAATCTCACAGATTTCTCTTTTTTCTGAGTTGTACAAAATTTATTATATCATAAAATCAATGTATGATTATATACTGTGTTAGACATAAACAATGAATGCACTTTATCATTCCTCTTAATTTCATCAGTTCAGTAAGATGTTCATATAATTATGGGATATTAATTTTCATCCTTTCTCTATTCTTTGAAATAAATATCATATCTTTTATTGTCATGTCTTTCAAATTATTATCAGAATAAATATCTAAGAAAATAATATTAAAATGTAAACTCTAAAATTAATAACACCAATTGAAGTTGGGTAGAAAATTCATCATCTACTCTAGTCTATGTTACCAGCCCATAAAACAATGCATGTAGTACATTTCTCAAAAACAAAAAGATTTTGATTAAAACTTGAATAAATAAATGTGGATTTATTTTAAAAAATAATTAATTAATCGAAATGTTCATCCAAAGGTTGAGGTGCAAATTCATATAAATTTTCAGAATAAGCTATCACTTTGTCAGTTTAAACATCTTCAGGACAATTTTTTACCACTAAAATCTGCAACTTAATTATTATAACACAGACTCCTGTTAATTTCTTCCTCTCAGTTTGATAATCTTTTGTTTTACTATTTTGTCATCCAATTATTGTAAAAAAATCTAGTTTTGTTAAACTGCATTGTCTATAAAATATCACCTATATTATTATGTATCTGTGAAATCATCAGAGATAAATATAGGTCATGCATAGTGAGAACCAATACATAGCTTTTTTTTTTATTTATCTTGTTTGAAGTAGTAATCCTATATTTTATTATTGCTTTAAAAATTTTGCTCAGTAGAATTTCATAGAGTAAATGAGACACACCTTAAAGCAAATCAGATGTAAGGTTTCAAAATATCTTTTTCCTGTTTTTTATGATGTCTTTTCACTTGGTTTGTTGTTTCATTTGCAGTCCAGAAACTATTTGCTTTAGTGTGATTCTATTTGTCTATTTTTGTTTCTTGTGCTTTTGGGTTATATTCAAAATATCATTGTCTGAAAGGGGTTAATATTAAAAATATGAAAGTATCTTGAACAACTCAATAACAAGAAAAAAATAGCCTGATTAAAAAAGAAAATAAGCTAAGGACCTGAATAGACAATTCTGCGAAGAAGATATATAAATTGCCAACAGGTATATGCAAAAAGTTCAACATCAGTAATAATCAGAGAAATGCCAATCAAGATCACAATAGGATATCTCATACCTGTTAGAAAGGCTATTATAAAAAATAACTAGAGTTGAGAAGGATGGGAACAAAAGAGAACTCTTTTACAGTGTTGTTGGAAATAGCATGGAGGTTTCTCAAAGAATTTAAAAAGAGAACTGTCATATGATTCAATAGTCCCACATCAGAGTATTTCCGAAGGAAATAAAATCAGTATCTCAAAGAGGTATCTGCACTCCCATGTTCATTGCAGCATTATTTATAATAGCCAAGATGTAGAATTAACATAAGTGATAATTAACCAATGAATTGATAAAAAGATGATACATACATATATATATATTTATTTATGTATATGTACACACACACACACAATGGAATATTATTCAGCCTTAAAAAGAAGGAAATCTTGCCATTCGTGACAGCATTTAACAGCATAGATTAACCTGGAAGACATTTTGCTAAGGGAAATAGGCCAGGCACAGAAAGACAAATATCTCATAATCTCATTTTTTATATGTAGATCAAAAAAAGTTGAACTCTTAGAAACAGAGAGAATAGTGGTTATCAGGAGGTAGAGAGTGAGGAAAATGGGAAGATGTTGGTGAAAGGGTACAAAGTTTCAGCTATGAAAGATGCATAAATTCTAGATAGGCAATCTATAGCATGGTTACTATACTT